TTTTAATTTTTCGGGTTGGTGTTGTCAGTTCGTATCCTTTGTGGGAGTCTATGCTGGCACTTTGCTTTTTAACTCACTCCTATTGAGATATCCATAAGGTGAGTCCTGCTTCTAGAGGCTTCTATCCCTTGTGACCTTGGTTGGGTAAGTCGCCATTGGGCGAAGTGCAGTTTGTCCTGGTCTATTCTAGCTATCCTACCTTCGCCTAACTGGTGCTTTACGAAGGTTTCTATTATTTTGTCTTTGTTTATGATATTCTCTTCTATTTTCCTGCAGGTTCTTTTCCACCGTCCTCTATATTCCGCCTCTATTAGGTGCAAAACTCCTTCCCAAGCTTCTTGGGGTGTCATGGTTGAGCGATCAATCGTTTCTTGACATATGCGCTTCCAAATCATCCATAAGGTCGCGAGCCTTAGAACGTGGAAGAAGGAAACTTCGAATCCTTGCCATGAGCTGTGAGTGTGCAAGCCAAGTAAGAGAGCGACCTGATCCGATGGCATTGTTTTGTCCGTGACCAAGTGCCAAAGTCGGGAGGCGGGTGTCCAGAGTTGTTTAGCTTTCTGACAGCCTAGCAGACAGTGTTCTATATCTTCTGACAGTCCCTCCGGACAAATAGTGCATAGCTCCTGCACCGGGGATTTCAACTGTGCAGTCCTTCTCTTGTTCAGCCATTTGTTAACTGGGAGAGCCCGATGGGCGAGTAGCCATTGGAAGCTTCTTATTCTGGTAGATGTGATGGCAAGTAGTCTACTCCATGACTTGATGAGGGTTTGATTTGGTGGCAGATTGAGTTGGGTTTCCCATCTTTGGTTGATGATTTGAGTTACTGAGACCGATCTCATTCTTAGGGTATATCCCAGCTTAGTAGAGTATTCTAGAATGTTGTTATGTTTCTCCACTCCTAGTCTGCCTGACTTCCTCTTCCAAGCCCATTCCGCTGGGTCGACTTCCAGGTCGGCGATGGTTACAAGAGGTTCATATATGCGACATTCTTCAGTTTCTACCACTCTTACTTTCCTCATTGCTTGTTCTGGGATGGCGATTTCTCCCAAAACGTTACGACCTAAGAGGCTTGTGGTTGATCCCAGTTCTGCGATCGAGTATATGTCGCATATTAACCATGCGTTCCCTGGTCCCTCTCTTGAGCGGAACTGATAGGAGGTATTGGGGATGTTTTCAGTTAATCGTGTTGCCCAGTCCCCTGTTCTCCACTCGCCACTGCCCTTCAGTAGCTCATGCCAGCTTTGTGGTATTGCTATTAAGATATTGTTCAGGTTTGCTTGTAAATTGTGGCATCCCCTCAAAGTTTCCCTTAGCTCTCCTACTGTTTTCCATCTCTTGTCCTCATCATGCCAAAGGTGCTTGACCTGCCACGCTCCCTTTTCTAACCAGGCTCCCCATTTTGTGGTTAGGGTCCATGGTTTCCCTTGTGGGTCCAACAAGGCTTGGTTACAGAAGATCGGTTGCCTGAGGACTTCCTCTTTAGTTGTTGGTTCTCTTACTTTGGCTGGTAGGATTTCCCTCCACGTCTTCAATAGTTGCCTCCAAAAGTTATCCCCTTGCTCTTCTTCCTGGTTCCCCTGGTGATCTGTTTGCACCCCGCCCTTCATCGCCCGGGACTTATGCATGAGCCAAAGAGGCCACGCATGTTGTCCGGGGTTTTGTATTTGGCTATTTGCTTTATTCTGTGGAGGCCTAGCTTGCTCCAGGGTAGGTTGTTATTAGTTATCATTTTGATGATCCACTTTGTTTTGAAGGGCTTTTATTTGAGTTTTCGGGTCCAGGATTCCCAAACCCCCTTGCGATTTCTTCAGAGTGACGTACTTCCACGCCACTTGAGAGATGAAGTTGACTCTGGATGGATCACCGGTCCATAAATAGGTGGCTGCCCTTCTTCTGAGCTGTGTTCTTTGCTGCTTGGGTGGGCTCCAAATTGTGGCAGCGTACCACATCATTGCAAAGATTGATGCATTTAGGATCAAGGTTCGGCCAAATATTGAGGTGTAGACATTGGACCAGCTGCCCAATTTGGTATTCATCTTATTCATTATGGCTGGAGCCATTGTTTGGTTGGAGCCATGTTTGGAAACTTGGATTCCTAGGAATCTGAGGGGTTCGTTGCCCCGTGACCAGTTTATTCCTACTGGCGTACTTCGTGGAGGGTCAGTTTGTGGGTCTGTTAGCCACCAGCCTATTGTTTTGGGCCAGTCGATTCTCATTTCTGATGCGATTTGGAAAGCCTGCATGGCTCTAGTGAGAGCTTGAAAGGAAGAGTCTGAGGCTCGTATTAAGATTGTCAAGTCGTCCGCGAAGAGGATGGTAGTGGGTATGTTGATCGGATGTTGCGCGTCATCGACCAGTGTTTCAATGGATGGATCTTTTCTTAGAAAGGAGGCAGTCGCCTCCATGATGAAGAGAAAGATTGGGGCTGCTAGTGGGTCTCCCTATCTTACCGAGCGGGACATTCGGTATGGTTGTGATAGATGGCCGTTTACCTGTACTCGTCCGTGGACTTGAACCCATTTTTTAAAATTTGGGCCTATCGCCATTTTTTTCATGCATTGCTGTAAGAAGTTCCAATTAACCTGGTCGTACGCCTTTTCGAAGTCGAAGAAAAGTATGGCTGCGTTCATTTTTTTGTCCTGAATATATCTGACTGATTCGTTGAGGGTCATTACGTTATCTAGAATGAATCTTCCTGGGATAAATCCTGTCTGGTCGATGTGGAAGCAGTTCCTAGTGATTGTTCTGATTCTGTTGGCTAACAATTTAGCTAGAATTTTATATGTTACTGAGAGCAGAGAGATTGGTCTGTAGTTTCTGATGTCTGCTGGGTCGCCTTTCTTGTAGAACAGGGAGACTACTCCAGTGCTTTGGAGTTCCCCTAGTGTGCCTCTATCCCATGCCTTCTCTAGGAATTGGAGGTATTTTGTGCCTAGAGCTGGCCAGAAAGAGACCCTGAACTCCTTAGATAGACCATCCAGTCTTGGGGTCTTGTTTGGTTTCATTGAGTGCAGTGCCTCATAGACCTCTTGTTCCGAGATCGGCCTGTCCAAAGTCGTCGTCTGTTCTGTTGAGATGGTCTTATCTAAGTGGGTCCGGAATTTGGCTCTTGCGCGTGAGGTTTCATGGTGCGAGTAGTTATGTTCCTTGGATGTGTAAAGGCTTTGGAAGAAGGCCGCTGCTGCTGCTAGCATCTGCTGTGGATTTGATGTCAGTCCGTGTTCTGTTTGCATCTTTTCTATGCTTGCATTCCTTGCGTTTGCCTTGATTCTGTTAAAGAACTATTTGGTCATTTTCTCGCCTTCTTCCCATTCCTTCATTCGGGCTCTTATCCTCGAGCCCTTGTTTCTCCATTCTTCCCGTTCAGACATCTCTTGCTTGGTTTGTTCAAAGACTCTTTCATATAAAATATTCCCTGGGTCGCTTAGGAGATTCCTTTTTGCTACCCTTATTGCCTGTTGTAGTTCTTCCTCTCTTGCTTTTCTCTTAGAGGCGATTATTCTGGAGGCCCTAGCAGTGGATTCCGTTAGTGCCATGACCAAGTCCGGGAAATCCTGGTTAGTGTAATTGTGGTCAATACATGTGGACAGAACCGTGTCCCTTATTTCTGGCGTACTTAACAGAGAGTTGTTGATTTTGAAGAAGCTTCGCCCTTTGTTGGGGGCGGTCGCTAGGTTAAGTTGCACTCTGATTGGTTTGTGGTCGAGGCCTACGTAGCGAGGGAGTTCTCCTATTTCTGTGTTATGGATTGGCCCTGTGAGCGCTCGTGATACCAAAAAATAATCTATTCTGGATGCTGAGATGTGCTGACTTCTATTCCTTTTTAGGTACGTGTATTCTTTGCTATATGGGTGAAGAATTTTGAATGGGTCGACAAGATCTTCTTCCATCATCAACTTGTGAATGGGTAGGGCTTCGTTCCACGTGGCCTGTGTCGTCCCTGTTGCGGCTACTAAAAAGCGGTCCCTGGTTGGGTCCAATGCCGCATTCCAGTCCCCTGCCAGAACCAGTTGAGTGTTGGAATCGCACCTCGGTAGGAGGTCTGCAATTAGTCTGGTTCGTTGGTTCAGAGTATTCGGGGCATAGACTGTGAGTAACCTGAATTTTTCTTCGTGTACTTGAAAGTCTATGCTGGCCCATCTGCCTTCTTCTGCATCTATGCTTGATACGGTCCTAACAACCGTGTTGATGCTCTAGATTTAGCGTGTCCTAAGATAGCCACGCCTGCTGAATTGGGGCGGGGGGACGGGCCCCAGGTTGCTTCTTTGACCCACTTCAGTTTTCTTGTTATATGTGCTTGGGTTCTTCGGTGTTCCTCCGAGTCGGTTAGGTGTGTCTCCTGGATGCATAGCAGGTCGGGTGGGGACCGCCCGAACCAGTCCGTGCCCTTGATTAGGTAATCCCGTTTCTTCTGGTCGGCCCTCATCTTCCTTTTCACTCCGTTTCTACAGGACCCAGACTTATGTTTCTACCCGCTGTTGGAGGAGACACCAAGCCTCTTGCCTGTGCACTTCCTCTTTCTCTATTCCTTCTCGGCAGTCTTGCCATTGGTTCTTCGATATCGTTCAAAGGGCAGCCTCCCTTAGAATGTGAAAGAGGTAAGGTTGGTCGACAGTGGGGACCACTCCTTGGGAGTGGAGAATCCCTAGCAGTAGTAGTGTCGGGTTGGCTGTGCGAAGTTAGATGAGATTGTCTTTTCCCATACCTTAGCTACCCTTTCCCGTAGAGGCACTTGCTTATTCTAGGACAATAGGAGGAAGCAGTGATATAGGTTTTCTATTTGTCCCTCTGTGCAGGTGGCCCAAAGTTCCTCAAGTTAAAGACTTCTATCTTCCCTTCTTCATCTGACGTTTAGTCATTGATTTAGGGGGACTGCTAGCATCTTCGCCCGATGAATATAACGCCCAGTCATTATAGCTGTATTTGGCACAACGTTCAGCCCAGATACGGCGATAATTACCAGGCATTCTATTCGGGTTTAGACGGTAGCTATAGGATTAGCCACTGTCGACCTCTGAATTTAGGACGATGGATTGATGCTATTTGGTTTGAGGGTATTTGGTTAAAAGGATTTCTGGCTCTACTTCCAGGTGTTTCCTCCAGCGCTCTGCAAAAAAGTATCTGGTCTGTTGCTGCGGATCTTCTTCTCAGTCTGTAGCCTGATCGCGTTGTGTAGCGTAGGGTTGTGTGTGGATATGTGTGTGGAGATGCCATACCACCTTGACGAGAGAGGAAGGTGGTTTTGCTCTGCTATCTATGGTTCCATGTTGATTTAGATGTTAACGCAGTCCATGTTTCGACAAAGAGAGCATGCAATACAGGTTCATTTTCGAAACATGGACTGCGTTAACATGCAAATCAGCAGGAAAAACCATAGATAGCAGAGCAAAACCACCTTCCTCTCTCGTCAAGATAAAGTGTTCTGTTGCTTGTCCTTGTCCTTCATTGTGTGTCCGGTTTGCCTTGTTGTTGATCCCCCTTCGGGGCCTTCTTGGCCTTCCGCCAGGGCACCCCGGCAGGAGACCTTATAGACTTCATGATTGTGCCTGGTGCCATTTCTTCGACCTCAACCTGTTGTGAACTATCGTCGCCACCTTGCCCTTTAGCAGCCAGTTCCTCATGAAGGTCTGTTTCTTGGTTGCTTGTCCTTCTGGTCTGTGTCTCATAGACTATTCTCCGCCATCTGCTCCTGATTTCCGTCTCATGCTCAGCAGCAATGACCACATTTCTTCCCTAGCCACCTCTGCACCCTTGATTGCCAGAGTGCATCTGTGTTTCCATATCACCCACAGTTCCTTTATCTGTCTTATCCTGCTAAAAGAAAAAAAAGGAAAAAAAAAACTTTAAAAAAGTAGATACTTATCCTCAGTCGCTGATCCACACTCCACACAGCTTTCACACCGTTTATCCCTTGATCAGTGTTTCCTTTCCTTGTCTTCTCAGTGGTCAACTGTCATGATTTTCATTATTATATATATTATATATAGCCTCCTGATGAGTCGGTGAAACTCCGACGAAACAGTTTGTCACAGCCCCTCGTTTGTTGTCCTCTTCTCCCTCTCTGCCTACGGTTTACCGGGCAGTTCTATTTGACGATATATATCGTTATATATTGTCACAGAAGTTTGTGACGATATATATATATATATAGTCGGTGAAACTCCGACGAAACAGTTTGTCACAGCCCCTCGTTTGTTGTCCTCTTCTCTCTCTCTGCCTATGGTTTACCGGGCAGTTCTGTTTGTGACGATATATATATATAATGGGGGTGGGGGAAGAGAGGGGGAGGGTGGGTGAGGGTGGGGAAAGGGGCACTTTTATGATTTAAATATGATTATTGTCAACTGCATAACTCGTGGATTGGTGTTGCGTTTTTTTGTCTTATGTGTGCAAATTCCTTTGTGGGATGGGGGGTGGGGAGCGGTGTTTTGTGCAGGGAAAGATTCCTATCATTGGTTGTGGAGGAATTTCCAGGTTTGCTAGTGAACTCAGATAATGCTTGCATCTCTCTCTCTCTCTCTCTCTCTCTCTCTCTCTCTCTCTCTCTCTCTCTCTCTCTCTCTCTCTCTCTCTCTCCCCTCCCACCACCACACACACGCACACACACATGGACCCCTCTGCTCCAACAGTTTGACCGAGAAATGTGCAATTGCCATGTTGCTATTGATGCAATGTGGGTGTGGCGATGCCATAATGATTTATTAAATTTATTTACAATTGTAGTTAATGTCATCTTCGCTCAGTTTCCAAAATCAGGTAGCAGGGCTAAATGCCTACACCTGCACTTTTTGCAGGCATTTTATCTCCTCATAATTTGCTGGGGATTGGTGTAAAATTGGTGACCATGTCCCATGTCGACCGGATACAGTTGAATTTTCAAAATGACCAACATGAGCTGTAGATAGGTAATGTAACTGGAACTGGCAGCGGGAAGGAAGGCACGAAGGAAGGCACGAAGTAAGTGGCAGCGACAAGGAAGGCACAACGTAACAGATGTGTTCTATCGTCTATGTATGTGCTTTGGTTTCTGACATTGCACGCTGCTTCTCACGATTGTCGCATGCAGTGGCGAGGATGCGTACGTGAAAATTCGGGCTGGTGCTTCACTTGTACAGTTATGCACGGCATTCATGATTGAAGGGCCACCTCTGGTGCCACGAATAAAGGTACGGACTGTACTGTGAAGTATTACGAAATGAAAACGTCCATAACAGCGAAATGACATGATGAATAAGTGAAGGGTATCGGACACTCAGTACAGACGACAAGTCTACAGCCTGCGTAATGCAAAAATCAGTGACTTTCAAGTTCCAGTTCACAGAATCTGATGGCAATTGAAATACACCCATACACGCCGCGTTTCCTTTAGCAGCACCGGACCCATCCGCATGTTATGTGCTCAATTGATTCATGATCGAAAACCACATTCAATTGTTCCCTTGCAGACTGGAGAGAGCAGATTCACACCATATACTATAGCCAATGAGAGAGAGAATTGCACAGCGGAAGCCAAAACCAGATATGGACTTGAAAGAAAATAGTCTTCAATCAATTCAGCTCGATCGAGTACACGGCCAACAAGAATCTCAATCGGGCTTGCTATTGGAGGATGCTCGTATCACCTCCAATAGCAGGTTGCCACAGATGTTTCGGTTAAAAAAAAAAAAAAAAAAAAAAAATCTCAATCGATCAACCCTCGACAATAATGTTCCTCTCTCCAACAACTCGCGAACACAGGTATGGCGTCCAGCGCAATCAGCGCCCAGTTCCCATCTGCTCTCAAGTTGCACGTGCTGATCTGACATAGGTCAGATGGGCAATCAGCCGTGCGAGTAATCACCATGAAGAAGAAGGTGGTGAACTTTGATATGAAGAAGAAGATGGCTGCCTCGACAGGGCAGCAACGATCAAATAGCCGCTTGATAAACCAGCGGCGGCGTCAACCTCCCAAACAGGAACGGTGGCCAGGAGGGAGCTCAGCGGACTCAAAAACCAAACCCCAGTCAGGCGCTGCTCCTCGAGGTGCCAGGGCGCCCCAGCTATGGCTACCTCCAGCACGGTGAAGATGAAGATGTCCAGCGCTAATTTTAGAGCTGTTCAAGTCACCAACCTGCTCCCAGCAAACTTAAAAAAAAAATGAATAAAAAAGAACCCCAATCACGCGTGGCCTACTTCTACCCGACTCCATAGACGTACAAATGCAGCAACTGCATATCATCTATGGCCTATCTACATCTGCATCTAGACAGAAAAAACAGACCAAAAGGGGACACAACCTAAGACCTGACGAAAGAAAGACCTACGCGCCTCCCAGTTTCCAATTATCGCAGAAACGACAAAACATTGAAAAGGCAGAACGACAAAAGTACGACCTACAACTTCACGAGCAGCCAAGCCCCAGTGAGGGACAGGTCATGGGATCAACCCCCAGGGGAGGCCTCACAATGGGACACGCCCATAGAAAGCTGCAATTCATTGCACGCATCTCTCTAGCACGTATTCATAGATACACCCAACCACTACAGATGACCGTGTGTTATGACTCTTATGCTAGCCAAGCACGTCCACAGAACGGAATATAATTTTTGGCACTTTTTTTCCGCAAGGGAATTAAACTGGATAGGATTGGTTTGGGGTAAGGATGATAAAGGGCGGTATGGCTAGTCATTAAAGAATCAGGAGGATGAGCTCGTGGTCAGGATGAAGAAGGATTGGGATGGGAGAGGGGGGGAGGGAAAGGGGTGAAATGAACCTCTCAAGATTCAATCTTAGAATATAACATGCAAATTGAGAGCAATCAGATGAAGTTCACACAGGCTGGAGTGATGTCCATGAACAGTGCAAATTCGAAGTTCCACTCAAGGTGCAATAATATACAATTGGAAAAGTTTGAGAATAAGTGGTTTGAACCGCTGCAACAAGCCTCAGGTATGTAACCAACTTCCTCCTCCCTCGGCTGCTTCTCTTCTCTCTTTCTTTCTTTCCCTGTCTCTCTCGATAGTCTCTCTCTCTCTCTCTCTCTCTCTCTCTCTCTCTCTCTCTCTCTCTCTCTTGCACTGTTCCTCCCTCACTGTNTCTCTCTCTCTCTTGCACTGTTCCTCCCTCACTGTTCCTCACTGACTGTTCCTCTCTCGACGTCCTAGATCTACCCTGAATGCTACTACGGTGTGCCTTACTGATCCTGGGTGGCTATGGCCACCGGGGAACCTCTCCCCTCTCGCCTGGCTATGGCTGACTGTAGCAGCCAGGCACTGCGCACTTCTCGGCCCTTGTGCTCCTTCGTCCAGGTCGCTTGATCGCACAAGCTCTCGCAACGCTTCCACAATTCTGCGAAATGAACAAGTGACCCTTTTGACACTGCAGTCCAAGATATATAGTTGCAGTGGACTGTTTCGTTCCTGCTTCAATCGGTACTGGCCTCCTTCGGCCTCTGCCTTGCCAAAATGCTAATTTGGGAAAGTTCCCAACTTTCTTGTGAGGCTGCTGCAAAATTGTACTTTTTGGGGATTCGACATGCTCCTACAGGTACTGTACGGTACTGTAGCCAACCGGACTGYGACGCCTGATCCTACAGGCCCTAAGATTCTAATCGACGGGGGCCTGGGACTGGGATGATGTAGGACCCTGTAACCGGGACTGGGAAAGCTTGCAGTGTGAATCCATTCACTCCCGCCGGCCTAATTTCGAGGTCCTCTGAGAAAAGTCAGAACTTTAGCGATCATAGATGTTCAATCCTCTGCGTGCCCGCTCGTAGTATGACATTATATGAGGGGCTGTCTGAACTAACTCATCCCTGGTGAACCAGCGATCTTCGCTGGGATTCTGATAAGCAAATCTGACCTTGTATTGTCTCTGTGGCCTCCCTCTACGATCTGTACGGAAGGTGTCCTCAGCTACAATCTTCTCGACATCATATCTTCCGTCCATATCAGGTGGAATCATAGATCTGCACGAGGGAAATACATCATTAGTCACACAGGGAAGGAGCTTAGAAGCGTGAAAAACCGGATAGGTGTGCAAATGGGGTGGAATCTCGAAGGTGTATGACGGTCCATCTGCGTCACCTTTGACATCTAGCACTTGCCATGACCCTCTGTAGGCAGGTAGCAACTTCTGCGAAATCCCTTCCTCGGGAATAAACTCTTTAGACTTGACCTAGACAAGATCACCTATCGCAAACTGTGACGGACGACGGTGCTTGTTCGCCTGTTCCATCATTTGATACTGGGCCTTCCGGATGTTCTCAGCCACCCGTTGCAAATCCTTCTCATACTGAATGGCAAACTCACGTGTGCCAGGTGGCAGTCTCTGGATCTGATCCGGATTAACAGTCTATGGGACGTCGGGGACTCCAGCTTCTATGGAGCTCGTTCGGGGTCCGCGAGGTAGCTAGGTGAACCGAGTTGTTATACGCACTAGCTACTTTGGGAAGATGTTCATCCCAATCTAACTGATCTGGTCTAATGTACATACGCAGTACTTGCTGTAGAATCTTGTTCATCTGCTCGGTCTGGCCATTTGTCTCAGGGTGGCGACCAGATGACATAGCTAACTGAGATCCATAGACCTTCATTAACTGCTGCCACTGTTCCCCTGTGAACCGGTTATCTCGGTCACTAACTATGCTCAACGGGTGACCGTAATCCTTGACCCAATGATTAAAGAACTCTTTGATGACCAGATCTGTCTTTGCTTCAACAGGTAATGGTACAAAAACGGCGAATTCACTAAACCTGTCAACTGCGACCATGACCTAACTCTTCCCACTACGACTCTTGACCTTAGTGTCCATGAAATCTATAGATACAAATTCACCGGGACCAGATGGGATAGGCAAGGGTTTCAACAGTCCGAGGGGAGGCTGCGTGGAACTCTTGTTCCTCTGACATACTTGGCAGCCTTGGATGTAGGTGATACAATCATGTTTCATGCCTGGCCACGTGTAGGACCTTAGTAGGGTAGCATAGGTCTTCCGCCAGCCAAAGTGGCCTTCAGTATCGTGGCATTCCCCTAGGATCAGACTGCGTACCTCTTCATTACACGGTATGCAGAGCCTATCATGCACATCAGTCTTTTCAAACAGCAGTCCATTGACCATTCTGAAATCACCGACTTCCTGAGGTGTGGTCTGCACCTTCTTTATCAGCGTGCTATACACGGGATCATCAGTGTATGCAGCCTTGATCTTTTGCTGCAGATCTGCGCCAACGTCTAGGTAAGTCACTATTGCACCAAAGAAATCTGCACGTCTGCTCAATGCATCAGCAACGACATTGTACTTACCCTTGACTGGTTTCAACTCAAAATCAAACTGATCAATCTCCCCAGCCCAGCTAGTCAACTCAGGAGTCATGCGGGTCTGGGTCTTTAACCAACGCAGAGTTTCATGATCTGAGTATACCTTGAAGTGTCGTCCTAGCAGGTAGTGTTGCCAATGGTCTAAAGCCTGTCTGAGGGCGAAGAGCTCATGCTCATAAGTTGATGCTGCTACCTTCTCACTAGGGAGCCTGCAAGACATAAACTCAACGGGCCTGTACCCATCTCCATCATTCTGTTGGAGAACAGCGTCAATGCCGTACTGGCTAGCATCGGTAGTTACAACAAACGGTAAGGATGGATCAGCTACTTTAAGGACCGGTACTCGATAAGGGACTTTTTCAACTTCTTGAAGGCTGATGTACAGTCCTTGTCCCAATTCCAAACAGTTTCCTTTCGCAGCAGCCGACGCAAAGGAGCAGCAACGGAAGTGAAGTTACGAACGAACTTCCGATAGTAGTTGGCCAGTCCTAAGAACGACTGCAACTCAGTCAACGTGTGCGGGGTTGGCCAGTCACGAATTGCTGCTATCTTGGCGTCCTCCGGTCTCACTCCATCTCCATCTACCACGTGTCCCAAATACAGGACTTGACGCTTGGCCCACTCACACTTCTTCGGGTTAATCTTAAAATTAGACTCACGCATTTTGGTCAATATCTGACGTAGATGATTCTGAAGCTCCTCCAAGCTCTTGCTAAAGATCAGAATATCATCTAAATAAACTACAACAAACTTATCCAACCAATCTCTAAACAGATCATTCATGCATCTTTGGAATGTTGCAGGAGCATTGGTCAACCCAAACGGCATCACAACAAACTCGTAGTGACCATAGCGAGTCCTAAAGGTC